ACAATGTTAGAGGAAAAGGAGTGAAAAAAAAAAAAAAAGAAAACTTTTAGGATTTTATTTTAAAAAGAGGCAAGGGTGGTGAGCAAGAGTAAAAAGGGGGAGTTGGAGACTGGAAATAGAAAATGAAAAAAAGAAAGAACTCAGACGAAATCTAGGCCCCCCCCCCCCTCCCCCCCCCCCCGCCCCCTGAAAATGCCTGCACTGTTGGTGTGATAAAGCCAGAAAATTCAGGAAAGGGTTGATAGAGAACAATACAAATTATAATAACTATTTCAAGAATATTTTTGTTTTTATTTGTGGTGAGGTCGAAGTACCTTATCAAGTAGATGTTTCCACATTCCAGTAACTGGTTTACGATAAATATTAAGCCCTGGTGCAATGAAAACCTAAAAGAGAACAAAGGAAAATAAATTATTCAACAGTTACAAAATGGAGTAAGATAACAAATCCCTTAAAAAAACTTTACAAGAGGTGTTATAATTAGCAATTGGTGGAGAAGTCTGAGTATTATTTGAAAATTTATGGAGATAGAGGAGAGTGTTATCCATCGAGGCCCAATGCAAAGGATAATTTATAAAGTAAGGTTTACAATGGACACATTGAAACCCATTCTCTTCCTCATCATTACATGGGCATCACACTCAATTAACTCAATTAATGAACAGCTTAAGCATCAGATTCTTTCAAGAAAAGCTCTTCTTTTTCCCTCACCCCTACCCTTTCCCAAAAATGCAGTGTTCTTCACTAAAAAAGAAATATCAGTGTAACCAGTTAGGCAATTATCCTACCTGGACTGGTATGTTTAGGTCATTGACAATCTTCTCAATTTTTGCTTTTAAATCTGCCACACTCAGTTGCTTCTTCTGAATGTAAAGCTGGCAAAAATTTAACAGTGATGCCAGTTAATAAGTCAATAATAATGGTATATAAGTCTGTAAAGAGAAAATTTAACTGTAAAATGTCAGGTCCACATGCACCAGGATTTTATGTACTAACCAACAAGTCAGACAAGAGTCTAAAATGTAACAGTCAATAATGACAAAAAATATGTGAGAAAATTGCTATCTGTTATTCTTTGACTAAGGAACAGTCAGAACCAAAGTATTCATTGTTACTTGGCCAATGACAACTCAGGGGCACCCAACATCAATTTGCGGAAAATATCTGTTCAGAAGACTATTTGAGATCTAGATCAATTTTCGGAACATTTGTTGTAAAATTTTTTGCTTGCCTGCCTCACCTAGGATTTTTAAACATCTAAACAATGGTATAATTGCCCAAAATATGCCTGTATCTACCGTTTAAATACTAAAATATGTTTAACATTATGCTATGTTTAAGTGGTTTAGACCTACATCCTTGTTGGATGCCCCTGACAACTTGCCATTAATACTTTCCTCACTAATTTTGACCAGCATAACCAGAAGCAACATGTTGTCCTTTTGGTACGTTTGTCTTGCTATTGATATCGCCCAGTGTAAACCAACGTATTTATAGTTATGAAATTGTTATTTGACATATGTAACCTATTTTGCAACATACCTGATTTGTAAAAATTACAACCTGGAATGTAAAGTGAAGTTAAAAGCAAGTAAATAAATAATAAAAATAGAGTGGAACTGCAGGGCTCTTGTCTACACATCGTAGGTTAATCAGCAGTATAACAGTTACACTTATTACTGTTAGTTATTGAAACATTGCTTCTAGATGTACAAGCAAGGAAATATCTCAAAATGGCTTGAGTACAGAGGTGCATCTGTAAATGGCCAGAAAAAAGAAATTGGCTGTTGTGGGGAACATGCTTTTTTATAGAGGTCAACTGTATTTTTAGATGATTCAGCTTAAAATTATTTCTTTAGGAAAAACAATATAACTCCTCTCTTTAGCCACTTCTGGTTATGTAGCATTAAATCATGGGATATTAAGATCTCCAATGTGAGTGGTGAACAATGTAGGCCATAGGAAAATGAGTGAGCAAGTGGCAAAGCCCTTCACTTTCCGTTCCCTTTAACATGAATACCTAAATGGATATTAAGTTTGCAAGCAGGGTTCAATAAAAATTGCAGCAATCTGCGATCATCTGATACACATGCAGACCAGCTAGTAATAATTATTGCATTTGTAAGCCTCCAAATTTTACCGTTTTCAGGGGGAGCAAGTCTCCTCTCTTTCTCTTAATTAGGTCCCAATTCTACCACTGAAACCTTCTTATTGCAAAAATGATTGAAACTGCTGAATAATTAAATTAGTTATACTTTTAAATATCTTACAATATTTATTATTAGAAATCACATTTAAACTACCTTGTATCCACTTTCCCAAAGTTCGGTTAATCTTGGAATGATTTCTGGATAAAGAATTCTAGATGAAAAATAATTATTATATTAATAAGTCATTATGAAATCTTTGCTCTGACTTCCATTGTCACTCATTCTTTCTCACTATGTAAGGGGTTACAATTTGAAGTGTGCATGTGCAACTCACCTCCAATCTGTTATTGATGCAGCAAACACCTTCCCAGACTGGGTTGTAATCAGTGTGCTGTCAAGATCAAAACCTGCAATCTTAGAGAATTCAAATAGCAATACATGTAATTAAGATAACAGAAAATCAGACGCAACAGTTTTAGTATGAATGAACTCTATGAATGATAGTTAATCTTGATAGCAGGATTAAGGTAAAAGTCTGCATTCACGCCAAGTGACTGACATAAGACTGAAGTTTGTTCTGGTTTCTGTAGAAGTATGAAAGACTAGGAGTACTTAGCTTCTGCTCCCCTTTGGATCACATTTTACAGGATAATTTTGCATGTACAGTCATTCATTCATTCACAAGGGTGAAGAGAAACAAATGCTTGGTGCCAAGTTTCTTGTTTAGGTAAACAATGTGACAACAAGGCTTGAACTCAGACCTTCGCTTGGCTACCACACCTCTTCGCCAAAACAATACAATTTGACAAACCTTTTAGCTCACACTCACGCAGTCAAGAGTGTATCCCCTTCAGTGTGTTATAGATCTTTCTCATCAACAGACAGATTTCTCACTAACGAAAAAAATATGTGCAGCTGACTAAGGTGTTCTTTTACATCCCACAGTCAGAACAGATAGATTTAAAGATTCAACTATGGTGAGGACGGTGTAAACGTCACTTGAAAACAGACTTTGCATACTTTGTTTGGAACTTAAGTGTGGTTATCCCAACAGGTTCGCTTTGTCAAATGTCGGCCAACTCCCCTGGCGCTGAATTCCGTAAGTGAAAAAAAAGGTCATGAAATTTGTCCTCCCCTACACCTGTATGTCCATTATTGATAAAACACGAAATTAGGCAGTTTCACAAAGTACTCATGCAGTGTTGGCAAAGAAATGTTACAAAAAATGTGTTGACATGCAGATGTCAACACATTGCTAATCTAGCTACACCTATAATAATATTGCATTTTTGATGTTCTCATTGCTGACCCCATCTTGACACTCCCTATTAAGTGAAACAGCTGCAGGACAGAGGTGAAAGCACTGCATGTGAGGAATGGTAAAAAAGACTAGAGATGGTTCAACTGTTTGCAGTTCTGAAACAAGGACAGTGCCTTCTTCTCCTTAGCAACTTCAAGACCCTGAGTATAGATCTGGCCTGTTAGGAATGGAACCTGGGTCTTCTGCTTTTAAGTCTCCTGGTAATGCTAACACTAAGTTACCTAAGAGTTGGTACATGTAGTTAACTGTAGACCCGCAAACTCATATTTTAACAACCACATATAGACATATGAACGACAGGTTTAGTAGTTTCTTGAGAAACTGTGGTGTTGCATCCATGAAGGAGTAAAGTCTGCATCTTAATTTCACCAATCATTGCAGTGAAAACATGGTATATGTAATCAATTTCTTCACTAAGGAAACAATCAGGAAAGCTGCAAAAATCTAGAGTGGAAACTTGTCTTTCGATTACAGGGTGCACCAAAACTTATGTCCGATTGTCCGCGACAGGTAGAAATTTAGTTCGGACAAGTAAACCTTTGACATGACTTGTCCGTGGGACAAGCGCATTTCTAATTAGAAAAAAAAAAAGAAACAGTTGAAAATTGTCTTCAAACTACAGTTGAGTTAAAATTCATCTCAAAAGTCAGAAATGCAAACCTCATACTCGACAAAATAAGGTTAAATATTCCTTCTAACTTTGCCATTCCTCAGTCATTTCATTTGTTTTTACAAGCTTCATTTTTGGTTTAAGTCAAAAACAATTTACAAGGGTAATAATGTGATTAATAACATTAAATGCCCGATTGTTTTTGAGTTTTGAGTTTCGAGCTAAACTTTTTGGACAAAAGCTCTTGGATTTCGGACGACCAAATTTAATATAGTACTTGTCTGAAGTACAAGTGGATTAAGAAAAAATTATTCCCTTACTCCTTCGAACTGTCTCAATTAATCCCCATGTGGAACAAACGAACAGTTTTCCTTCAACTTATTTCTAGTATATATAAATGACACACAACCTACAATCCCTTGATTGTCTCTGACAAAGGGCTGGCACTCCAAGTGACAGCTTTTAAATCTGACCCTATGAGATAGATAGACATACATACCTTTGATCTTGCCTTAATTCCACTCCTTGTAAATACAATAAGCTTTTGATCAATATCCTCCCATGAATCTTTTAAAACAGAGCGACTGGTAATCAAATCCTCCTTCTTAGCATTCTTGTTAGAATCATCTTTGTTTTTATTTGTCTTTTGAATTTTTTCAACCATCTCTTGACCAAATTCTCTGCCAATATCCTCAAGATCTTCAGAGGTAAGATGGTCCTCATCTGAATCACTCAGTGTATCATAACGAGCTTTCTTTGCTGAAGGTTCCCCCTCAGCATCATTTCTCCCTAACGAAGTGGTAGCGTTGAAGTGAATAAAGTGGCGATAATGGTCCCCAAGGATACAAAATGTTCCTCCAGGTCCAAGACAAACTGAACCTCCTTTGTTCAGAGTTTTACCTCCAACAGAGCTTGAATTATTTCCTAGCTAAAAAAAAATAATGAAGTATGATAAATGATCACCATGGCAAAACATTCGATCATTATCCCAGATTTCTGCTTGGATATTTCAACTATTTAACAAAGGGAGTCTAAATGGTCAGCATTATTATACCTGCCAACTCTCACGCCTTAGGCATGAGTCTCACGCCGGCTCACGCTTGCGGGCCAATTTCTCACGCCTGATTGAAAAATGTGAGTTTTTGCCGTCTTACTTGACACAATGTCCAAAAATATGTTAACTCAGACCCATGTAAGGAACGAAAACCATGTGTAAAATGAATAAATGACAATACCCTGCTCACGATCTCTGATTTTTGATTTTCGGACGTCTTCGGAAGACTTCGGACTTCTTCAGGAATCTTCGGAAATGATCGTGTCGCCTTCAAAAATCCCAGTACTCCCAGGATAAAAATCTCACGCTTATATCTCAGAATAAGTTGGCAGGTATACATTATCTGTAAAACTATCACAGGTGACATAATGAATTTCATTCAATGGCCAGTGACTTGTGATTAATACCCTGTATATAAGCATCTACAGGACAACTGTCCATACCATCAGGTATATCATGAACCTACAATGGCCTGCCCTCGGGATGGCTTGATTAGCTCAAAGGATAAAGCATTGTGTCCTGGGTTTGATTATTATTCAAGCCTCAACTTTTTCAAGTTTCTTTCCAACCATTTAGGTTGTTTAATCAACTGCAAGGATCATCCACTTTCATATCTTTATCCACAGTTCAAAATATGACTCATTTGATATAATTTATTATTTCAATTCACAAATGAAGAAACAAACTAGAAGTCTCCTGCATATTTCACAGCAAGGATAATCTAATTAATAACCCCCAAAGGATGCTCGGGATAATTATTTTCCTTTCACTGAAATTATACTGTATATTACTTTTACCTGGGTAACTTGCACTTCTTTTCTTGCATAATTGGCTGTGAGTTGAACTTTACAATGAGAAACAGAAGCAAGAAAGATAAGAACTATAATGATGCACAAAGATACCATGGTACTATAGACTAGAAAGTTAGGGGTCCCTTTTATAGCGGAGCTTCAAGCGCGCAAAGCGCGCATGCATGGGTGGGGCCCCATAGAGAGCAAAGAAAATCTATCCATCCCAGAAACTTTGGTAATCACGTGACCGTACACTGACTGCCTCTGACCGTCCATCTGCAACACAGGGAAACCAACATAAAATAACTCAATCAACAGGTGTGGCAACCCAAATGCAACTCAAGGTTATTTTGGTGGGAAATCACAGTCACCCGAGTATTGTAAAGCAGAGACAATTAAAGAGTCAATAAAGACGAAAACGGAGAGTGGAAATTGTTTCTGTATCTGTGTTGTCTGAGGTATTTAGCGTAGATTAATTGTCACGTCCACAAATTTCGAAAACAGAGCAAGAGAAAGACAGAGAAAAAGAGAAAGTAGGCGGCAGGCTAGCGAAACTCATCGAGAAAAAGGGCGACAGAGATCGAGAGTGAGAGATAAACAACAAAGGAGACATTTCTTTTGTTGGAAGAACAACATGAAAATTTTGTAACAGCAGTGAGAAAATAGGAAATGCTAGCGGCCACCAATTCAGGGTGAAAATGAGCGACTGTAAAAAAAGTGAATGAGAACACGTACAACATTTCCTCCATAAAACGGGTAACTAAGAAGTTTCTGGAAGTTTCACGATGTAGTCGTGCAAAACAACAGCAAAGAAAAGTACCAAAAAAGAGTGCTGCACGTGCAAAGTTGCTTTTTTGCTAATTGGACTTGTTGTTTTTCACCATTCTCCAGCATTGCCTTCGCCGCTTAGCATTACACGAGTTTATATTTTTTTTGACGAACTATACATATTATCGAGAGCTTCACTTTTAGCCCTGGTTGAATCTATATTATACCCTCTAGATTGGCATTTGAGTTATAAATGACTGAATTACAGTGGCCTGCTAACGCTGCTGCTTCAAAAGGAAAATATCATGAATTTAAATAGAAAACAACAGAAGGTCTTTGCTGAAGTGTTAGTCACTGCTATTTGATGAGAAGTATCATTTTAACTGTAACTTCAAAAAAGAAGTTGAAACTATATCGTAACATGTAAAATGTCAAATTCTCACTTTTTATAAAAACTGTCCAACAGATTATTTTAAAAATTATCTCCAGTTTATTTTTCACATAAATATTTTCAAAATCAACACCCAGATCATTAAGCTAGGTTTTTCAGATCTAAACTACATCTAAATAAGAGGACTCTACATTCAATTTACACACCATCTTTTTGGCTTCCTCCCTTTTAACTTCTAGGAGTAGTGTTAGATTCTAAGCTAAATTTCTCTGAGCATATAATATCTATCTGTAAAAAAGCCAGCCAGAGAATTGGTGTTCTAATGAGACTACGTAATCTAATTCCTATGAAATCTAAGTTAATATATTTATTCAAAAGCGCGATATTACCATTCCTCACCTACTGTCACCTAGTGTGGCATTTTTGCAAAGCGAGTGACACTCGAAAGCTTGAAAGACTGCAAGAAAGAGGACTTAGAACGGTTTTCAAGGATAATAATTCTAGTTATGAACAACTATTAGAGAAGGCAGACCTGCCCACACTACTAAATAGTGGCTTACAGGATCTGTGCATCCTTATGTATAAAGTAAAGCACAAACTGTTCCCTGCATATATAAGTAACATCTTTAAAGAACCAAATAGTAATTACAATCTGAGGCAAGCAGATTTCTCTATACCTAGGTATGAGACAGTCACCTACAGCAAGCACTCTATTAGATATCTAGGGTCTAGGCTATGGACAAAACTACCCAAGAGTATTAGGGACGTCACAACCCAAATGTTGTTTAAAAGCAAGATACGCCAACTCAATATAAGTGAACTTTTAGATGATGGCTGCGCAGGCTGTAGCCTTTGTTCATTTTGACTTCTGTATATTTTTACTATAAATCTCGTAATTAGATAACTATGAATATTTTACCTACTACTGTATATAGTTTTTACTTTGAATATTCTCCCCTAATTGGTGTCCCCAAATTAGTAAGGGATTCTTTCTTCCCTGGCTAGACGGCTTATCTATCTATCTATCTGTCTGTCTGTCTGTCTGTCTGTCTGTCTGTCTGTCTGTCTGTCTGTCTGTCTGTCTGTCTATCTATCTATCTATCTACCACTGTTTGATTGCAAAATATTGTTATTTTCCTGTACTTCTCCATCGACATTCTTCCCTTCTTTTATAACTGCCACCTCACACTCTTTCCACTCCCATATCACTCCTAGTCCTTATTCTTCCATGCTTCCACCCCTTGTCCTCTCCCATGGTTAGCTCACAGGAAAAAATAACGGATTCCCATTTTTGGATATTTTAGGGCATTTAAAGAATACCCACAAAAATCCCAAATTTGGAAGAGTGAGACAAGTCCCAATCTGGGAACTTGGTTGGGAATTGCATTGGTTGGGACTTGTCTTACTTTGCCAAATTTGGGATTTTTATGGGTATTCTTTAAATACCCTAAAATATCCAAAAATGGGAATCCGTTATTTTTTCCTGTGCAGGGCTTGAGATACACAAGTAAAACCCTTTAGCCTGCATACATGTGAATTTGAACAAGGCTTCTTCCATAAATCATTATAAAGACTGTCAAAATCACACACAGTTTATTTTGTGGTTAAATTATATATTTGGTTTTAAATTTGATCTTCCTTTGTTTTGAAGTATGGCAATGTGTGATAACGACTTTCAAACAAACAAATAAAAAATTTAAACTAAGGATAAAATTGAACAACAATTAACACATACTTTTAACCCCACTCACTGTGGTGAAGCTATGCTTTAGGGCATTTCTGGGTGGAGTCCCTTTTTTGCCCAAATGCTGAACCTTTTGAACAACAACGTAAAGGCTTATGATGCTGAGTGGTCTATATAAACATGACCACATGAGTGAAGTGTAGTGTTATAAGGTCGTTCAATGGAAGGGTTGTATGGGCTAGCAAACATACCCTTTTCTTTAACAGTGGAAACTCTGTTGATGGTAAATTGTCACGATAGGCAGAAATGGGGCTAAGATGTAAATAAAAGATGAGGAATACAACATCGAAAAAAAGGTAAGTTAACTTTTATTCAAAAGTTTAGCTTTATTTTTTTTAAAAATTAAATCAGTCGCGATTCCATACAAACTTCTGTAATTTTTTAACCCACCACATTTGTAACACATTAACTCACCTATGTTTGCAAGCCCATTAAATCCTTTAGTTGAAAGACCTTGTAACACAACACCTCACTCATGTTGTTATGTTTATAATCATAACTATAACAAAATTCCTTGAATCTGATCGGTTATCAACTGCCCTGATTTCAGCCTAAATAGGACAGTTTAAAGGGGCTGTGTCACGGCAGTACAATTTCAATTTGTTTTATTTTGCAAATTACTTGCCTTTAATCGCTATGGAACTTAAAGTAAGCAGAGAAATTACATGTAAATGACAAAATCAGAGATCCGAGACAAACAAATATGTCTCCTGAGCATTATTTTTAAAGTTGAAAGCAGCAGGGATCAACTTTGAAAAAATGTTAGGCTGAACAGTTTTCAAAAACCCTAGTTTCAATCCGCTTCAATCTTCTTCAGTTTTGCCCATCCGTGGCATCTGTTGTTTCTGTTATGTTATTTAAACCTTCCTTTAAATTTCTAAGCGGTTATTCTTATGTTTCTCTTAATTTAACGGGCATTTTGTAATTTCCTAATTTGGCTGGATTTCGTGACACAGCTCCTTTAATAGGATAGTACGCATCATGGCTAAGCAATTGGACAGTATGCACATCACGCATGCACTTAAATGGCTTTTTTTTTTCATTGCTAGCAACAAAAATCTTGGAATTTCTTGTGTTTGGATTTCAAAAAGAGCCTTATATATCACCAATTTTTTTGTCAATGTTATGATTAATTGGTAACAGAACTTTGTGTCTTCCAATTTGGTCTGTAATCAGACTGGTGATTAAACAAATGGGACTCCTGCTACGCGGTTGTCCGATTTTGTTGGCACTTGTATGATTACAGACCAAATTGGACTCCACTCAGTCCTGTTACCACTACTAATCACCTATTGTCTACTAAACGTTATTGAGGTTGATACCAACAATTATGTTACCAAAAAATAAAAGTCACCATGATGCATCTTGGTTTAAAAAATTACTTTATTCTGTATACAAAGCGAGCTGAATCACTAACCAGGGTCAGGGTGGCGGGGGGGCCTTGATAGCATACTACTATCCAAACCACCCTTTAGTACCCCCCCCTCTCCCATAGGTATTTCTTGACTTTCTTGTACAGAGAGTCTTCACGATTTATTTAAGTTATTTGTTTGATTTTATTTATTGTCTGCTGTACCATTTGATTCAACTTACCTTGGTTCCTTGAACATTTTTTGTCTGTTATTCTGGTTAGCGGTCCCCGACCAAGAAGGATACTCTCTCCATCTGGAAGGACTATAGGATCGTGACTTTTCTGACAGCAAATTGCGAGACACTCCATTATATATCTTACGATCCTTATCCGTTTACATGAAAGGGTAAAAAGCATCAAAACTAATAAATCTGTCTAGAAATCATGATTGATCAGCGGTACTGTTCCAGTTGGGCCCGGCGCTTCGCCGCCATTTTAGTGTTAGTGTTTACGAGGACGATCGTATATTTTTCGTACAAATTCGGAAGACTCGGAAATAGGTCTCGGTTTACGACGAAAGCTGCAATGTGCCCCGGGCGAGCAATGTGCTCGCGTAGAACTGCCGAGCTGCAGTGGGAAGGAGCAGGAATCGATTGATGCGACTTTTAAGGTAATTTTAACTTTAAATTTTAATCTTAATAATGTCTCTTTTGACAAAATGTTTTCTTAGCATATAAATAAGACATTAAAAGTATAAATTCCCTCCCCAGAAAGTTGTTGGCATGAACTCAGCTGGCTCAGCTGATGAACAGTTGGGTCAGCGAGGAAGGAGATGAAAGTTAATTAAAAAGAAAGACGGCAACTATAAGCTTCCTTTACATTTTCCCAGCTTCTTTGTAAAAAAAAAAAAACTCACACAACGTACCATGGGATTACTGTCAGAATATTGTGGAAGAGTAAGAGTTTATTTCGCTGGAGGAAAGCGCGCTGCTCTCAAACGATACAACGTAGTTGATAAATATTGTCTTTAATAACACGGCTAATGTAGACTTTTCTTGGTTTCAACATACAAACAAGTGAAGAATGGAGTACTTTTAATTTTAATTTCTTGTTTTGTTATTTCCCTAATTTTTGATGCCCTGGCTCTGAGCTTGCACGCGATACGACGTGACAAGATGGCCACATTAATGGTCAAAACAGTACAATAGTGTTCGTAGTTTTTGGTGAAAATAGCATTTATACACACTTCATTAGCCTACCCCAGGGGTAAGAAACCTGGGTTTATCAGGTGTATTCTAAAATGGGCAGAGCAAAGTGGAGAATTTACCCCAGGGCAGTGGTGTTTCTACCCTGGGTGCCAGAGGCTTTTCATGCGCGATTTTCGGTCTCGGTCAAGTTTTAAAAAGTGACCCGCGCGAAAAGCCTCTCGACCAAAGCGCTACCCTTTGATAGCGCCAAGCCAATTACAACCCCGCTTATACCAAAACATCCAGAATCTGGATGTTTTGCTGATTGGTTCCTTGGAGATACAGAATGTTTCAAATGCTCTGATTGGATTACAATCACAATAGGTGCGTGATCGGGACACCGGTGGTTTGAAGGTGATAAAGATCAAATCCAAACAATCAAGCACACATCACGTATGTTTAGAATTCGAAATATCAGGTATCTGTATGTACAGAAGATTTAGATAAGGCAAATAGCCAAAGTCACTGGAACATTTGATGGTGGGGGAAATAAGTGCGGAACTAAGAGAGAGCATTATAAATTATATTCAAAGGAGAGACATACAGGCGGTCTTGCTGGCCGGCTAGATGGAAAATCACTGCTGTGCAGTTACTACCTAGCATATGGAGTCAATGGGCAACACACAACATTCACCTCGTGCCAAAATGCTGCTTGTTCTGATGAACTTTTTTCTCCAGCGGGTAGATGGTTAGATTATAGCCTGAGATCATGCCCTCTCCCTATTATCCCTTTATTTCTCTCACGCGAAGAGGGCATGATACATTTGCTTGTCTGATCACATGTAAAAAAGCCAGAATCTGGACTTTTTTCTGATTAGATAGGAAAGAATGCGAATGATTTGCGCTGTTCCGATTGGCTAAAATGCCGCCATCCGTTAGTTGTTGTTGATTTCAGTCTGCATTTTTGCTTGCGTAATGAGCAGTGAATACACACGCGAGTTCGTTATGAAATTTCTGCCAGCTCAGTTTTCTTGAACTGGAAGAATGCCTAAATAGAAATTTCATCCCTTGAAATATTTTCCATCTCATCGTTTACACCGATCATTTGAATGCAATTTGATACTCGCTACAAGTTACAGAAGCGACAAACGGGTTCACTTGTCAAATAATCAATTCATGAATGGAATCTTGACCTGGCTTGACTGTAATTCCTCCGTCAGAAACCTGCGAATTATTCTGAGCGATTGTCGCTTTCACAACACCTTTCAGTTCGTGAAATATGGTGCTTCAGCGTAATTTTTTTTTCACTGCTTTCGATAAGGAACAAAGTCAACGAGCTTTAACCAGTAAATTCTTTATTATTTGTAGCTGTTAAATAAAGGTGCGGTAGCTCCAGCTAGCAGTATTTCATCACAAAAACAACACATTTAAATTTTTTTTAGGAAGCATCATCTGAACATGGACGTTCTTAAAAAATTTTCTTTTCCTTAAAATTGATTTCAAAACAGACATTATTCGCGGCAAAATTTGATTCCCGTATGGTAAACGCCTATTGGCTAATAACATGACAGGTCAAGCAGATGTTAGATTATGTAAATTAGGGGGCGGTTGACGGCTAGTTAAATAAATGTATCAGGCGTTATTTTTTTCCTTCTCAAGCCAAAGAAGCAGAAAAAATAAAATAATAAAATAAAATAACGCCTGATCTCAGGTTGGGTAGATTATGACTGAGCAAAATTAATGTGCATTATTTTTACCGCTTGTTTCACACTGAGAGGTCGTGACATGCATTGATTTTCTGCGGTTTATTTCTGGTTGGCATTATTTGCCTTCTGATGCGAGTCAAGAACATTCTCTTTGTCTCCTTTTAAAACGTAAACTTCTTCCTTGCACCTAAGTAAACTTTTAGGTTGTTTAATTTTCTCCAATTGCCTCCTGGACCTGAATAACTAAAAGCGCTTTACTTTTGTCTGTGCCCGGTGAAGGTTTCCTGCAATGTTTTGTCATGCTGGGTCCAGCTCGTTAGTAGTTTTCTCAGGATGTTAAATTCTCCTTTAGTGATTTTTAGATCCAGATTTTGATGAATGGATCGCAGCTTAAAGGGGCTATGTCACCCCACACGCATGCGCGAGCCAATGAAAACAAACTTGAAAAAGACAGCCCAACTTTTTCAAGTTCTGTCGGAGATTTTGGAAGGCTGTTTTTATCTGTCTAAATCTCAGCCATCGTTCGATAGTTAGCAAAGTTTTGTATTAAGAATCGTTCTATGGTGATTACAGAATAATTTTTTGGCGTTATTTTGAAATTGTTTGCCTGTGGAATGTTTTTACGTGGATTTACTGTGTCCTCTTATCTGCGGCCGT